AAATAGAGCTAAGTTTCCTACACCACCTTGTTATGTTACGTGCGACACTGTCACCCGAAATCCTTTACCGTTCAACGTGTATCGTAGGTTGAGTTATCACTGTCTTTTTGTTTGTTTCGTTGTTTTTCTGTTACTTGTAAATAAAGGATTGAAAATGTCGTTCCGCGGCGTAGTAGCGTGCAGCACCGTTAAAGCCGAGGGAAATTTATCGCGACTACAGGTCGCAGGTCGCAGCACAGCCGTTTCCAGCCAGCGTGCCAGGGGGGTGTTACTTTATTTCACGTAGGCGCGAGTGTTGGTTTACCCTTGCACACGTGTGTAGGACACGTGTGTAGACGCGGGCTGCGAGCGTTGTGGCCACGGAGTCACCATAAATTCGGCCGCGGGATTTCGGCCCAGGCCCGAGGAAAAGGGATCGGTCCTCTTACTGACGGTGGCCTTAGCGAAATTATGTTATTTGATTTAAAGGACTGATAGGCGACTGGGGATATCGGCTGCGCCGCCATCGGCCGGAAGTCGATGAAGTAAATTAAACGGGCGACAAGGAGAGAGGGGAGGGGGGGAGGGAGGGAGGGAGGGCGAATGCGCGATAGCTATACTTGTTTCGGAGGTTCTCCTCTTCCACTCTCTTTCTCTCTCTCTCTCTCCTCTCTCTTTCTCTCTCTCTCTCTCTCTCTCTCTCTCTCTCTCTCTCTCTCTCTCTCTCGTCTCGTCGTCGTCGTCGTCGTCGTCGTCGTCGTCGTCGTACGTACGTACGTACGTACGTACGTACGTACGTACGTACGTACGTACGTACGTACGTACGTACGTACGTACGTACGTACGTACGTACGTACGTACGTACGTACGTACCGTTAGCCCCCGTTTAAAACCCGTTTTTAAACCCCCCCCTTTACCCCCCCCCCCGTTTTACCGGGGTTTTTAGGGGGGTTACCCCGTTTACCCCGGGGTTTTTTTTACCCCGGGGGGGAACCGGTTTAAAACCCGGTTTTTACCCCGTTTAAACCCCCGGGAAACGGTTTAAAAGTTTTTAAAACTTTTAACGTTTTAAAAACTTAAAAGTTTTAACGGTAAAACCCTTTAAAACCCGTTTACCCCGGAACCCCTAAAACCTTTTAAGTTTAACGGTTTAAATTTACCCTTTTAAACCCGTTAAAAACGGGTAAAAATTTTTACCGTTTAAAACCTTAAATTACCGGGACCCGGTTTAAAAACTTTAACCGTTTACCGTTTAAGTTACGGACCTAAACTTAACCGTTAAATTTTAACGTTAAACCGGGTTAAAGGTTTAACTTAACGGAAGGAAAGGGAACCGTACCGTACCGTATACTACTATCCTACGAACGGAACGTTCACTATCGACGTTACTTTATAGTATGGAACGGTAAAGTAAGGTACGTTACCCTACCCCTTTCCTTCGGTTTCGTTTACGTACTTGTCGACTACTATAAACCGGAAAAAACCGGAAAACGGAACGGTAACGGTACGAAGGAAGTTTTTACTTTTTTTCCTACGTTTACGGTTTACGGTAACGTTCGTACCGACCGGACGGGAGGAATTTATTTACTATCTCGCGCATCTCTCTCACTATTATATGAGGATCTCTGCGCGCGACATACACGAGAGAGAGAGAGAGAGAGAGGAGGGGGAGGGGGACACGGATTTGTCTTTTGCGATTTATTCTCGAAGGATAAAACTTGCCGGACGAACTTTCGAATAACTTACGGTCGTCTCTGATAAAATATGCTTTCTGAAGATGAAATATGCGCTGGAAATCCTACCGTTTGCCCTCCCCTTAGCAACGAAACGTTCAAAACTTTTTATTTCCTTATGAGCCTTTTACGAATGCTACGACATTGGCCGGATCCGCGGCTGATGTTTCCCAGGGGAGCAACGACATCGTTGATCCCCGTCGTGTCCGATCAGATGGAAAAGAATACGCGGAACAACGGAGGGGAGAAGAGGCGCCTCGCGGAAACCGACGCTTTACGAGCGTGTCAGCAATTTCGCTATCGACGCGCGAAACCCGCGAAAATGCATTTGCGGCGCTGCATACGCTACAAACGCTCGCGTGACGTGTTCGTCAAAGTACCGCGTTAGGGAAACCGGGGGGGAGGGGGGGGTTGAGCAGAGGGAGGAAGAGGGTGGTAAGAGGGCAGATTGCCTTTGACGCGAGCAATAAAGTAACACCGTACGCCTCGCGGCGGTGGTGAACCAACCCGCCTTTCTGCAACTCGTGTCTGGATCTCGTCACCACTTACACGCGAGAGGGTGGATGAAACGGAGCTAACCGCCGTCTCTATGTGCGCGCACCGTTAATATAATGCACCGTACCAGGGCGCAACTTATCGCGCCTAAAACACGCCCGTGTACGGAGCTCCCGCTCCGTTCCGTTCTCTCTTGTTCACCTCTTCTGCGCCAGACTAGTCGACCGACCTCCCTCCCTATTATCCCCCGGGGAATAACTTAAAGGGTAAAGCCGATGCGGCTGTAATTTTACAAACGCTTTTTGGCTAACTGATAATTAGCCGATAATCTCTTTCTCGGGAGAGAACTCTGGTCACGATCTGGCGGCTACTTAATTGTGTGCTCTGCTATTTGTGTGCTCGCGTTTCCCCGACCCTTTACATCTCCCTGCAACTCACGCGTTCCTCTCCTCACTCCCCGAGCGCGCGCCCCCCTTTCACATCCTAGCTCGCCGCTCTATTCACGGACTAACCTTTGTTTCCACTCCCCAAGTTGGACCAAGGGTTGGGGTAGAATCCATGGAGTTATTGCCCCGCCGTTACTTGAATAAATATTCGCATTTGTATAAAGCCTAATTTCGCATTTGTATAAAGCCGGCGCGGCGTCTTATGTAAAATATTTCCAACTTTATGCATCCCCCGGTCGGGAGGGGGGGAGGGGGGCGGGGCGTTAAGAATATGTAACTGTAACTTTAGTTTGTTTAATTTTCCGAGTCGGCACGAAACGCTTCGCGGCACGGATCGCGCAAGCCGTAAGGGAAGGAGGAGGAGCACTTATCTCACGGCGGTGGATTTTTTCCTAGGCTCTTTTTTGCTCCGAGCACGTAGAGAGGCCGGCGGAAGTAGAGTGTAGTTACTCTACTCTTATATAAATGCTAATATAAATGCTGTATATCGTCTCCTCCCTGGACGCGGACGATGTATCTTTGGTGAAATTAAAGTCCCCTTCGCTCGCGGAGGGGAGGGGGAGAGAGAGGGGGGGGGAGACTCTCGTATAAAAAAATTTCCATAAAGGTTTTTCGTGCGGGGAATTTGTTACTCCGCGTTTGCGATGATAAGTCGATGATATACCGAGCGGAATCAAATTTTCATGCAACCTTTTGGTACGTGCCTTGAAAAATGTCGGCATCGCTCCCCCGCGTTTTAAGTCCCCCGATACGCCTCGTGTCGGCGAGGCGCGACGGCGACGGTGTTGACGACAATGTTGATTCCGGGAATGAAAAATATGTTGAATTGTCCCCCACAGCCCTCCCGTAGAATTCGCCCTAGTCCCCGTCCTTTACCCCCTTTTCACTTCTGCTCGCGACACCTCTCTCTTCCATCCCCGGTTCGTTCCCGCTCCGTTCGGATTTCGCTTCCGAGCCACTCGCGCGCGCGGAATCTTGTCGGCGCGCCCATATAAATGCTAATGTTATACATTGGTATACAACCTGGCTCGAAGAAGTTCTACAAATTTTGAGTCGGATGTAATCCATCTCGCAGTATTGCGCGCGCGGCGCGCGGTATGATCTGCGAAGATTGATCGACCCCGATCTTTCCGGAATGGTTCCATCTGGCTTTAATTAACGATCGGAATGGAAGAATGCGAGCCGAGAAAGAACTGATTCAACTGGTTAAATGAAGGTATTTAAAAGAATGTGAGAATTAAGAAGTCGAGGTATATTACGTAATTTTCGTGTGGAATTATCGAGGGAGGAAAGGAAAGAAGGTAAAAGTTAAAAAAATGCCTCGCCGATGTACGATTAAAATTAAAAACCTGAAAAAAATGAATGCTCGATATTTGTTATAATGGCAGAAGTGGTCGCTTTGGAAAATCCTGAAAAATAGGTCGGGCGAATCTCGAGGTCATACCCTTCAACCATATCGACAGCGCCGCCGACGTCGCCGTCAAACGCAATCTCAAAGTAAAATAGAAAAACTTTTTTTCAAATTATACGGGACAATTGGTGCGCGTCGAACAATTAAATACCAACGATGGTTTAACTTATCGAATAAAAAAAAAAAGACAGATTCAGCTCTTCCAGTAATTAATCGACTGTAATGTACGTCGTGTCACGGGGGGGAGGGGGGGAGTTGTATTTTTTTCTGTTTTTGTTGTTGCGATTGGTTCAAATGTTTTCCGAAAGTTTTGGCGTGAAAGCTATCGTTAAGCGATCCGCGTTGTATACGCGATAGGTCGATTCGATGCCAACCGCGTGTTGGATTTCGCACCAAATGCGCTGGCTTAGGCGGTACGCATGCATCCATTACCAGCCTCCGTGATCCTCATCGATGGTCCAGGCTTGAAAAATGACTGGCGATAAAATTTCCCGAGCGTAAAGCGATAGTGAACCAAAAAAAAAAAAAGAAAAAGAAAAATAGAAGAAGAAAGGGGAGAAGGGAAGAAGAATAAAAGGAAGAAAGAACCGTGCATCACAAGTGGTAGTCATAGTGACGGTTCAGTTAAAAATCTCGTTCGGAAAATTTCTCCTTGAAAGTTTTCCCCTGCCAACTTTCCTCCGGCGTATTTGGTATGCTAGATAGACGAGATGTATCGATCTCTCTATTTTTGATTTCGGTTGAAAAGACTCGTCGAGGTCGAGCCTCGAATCCTCGCGCCCCTTGGGCAGTCTTATTTTTCTTTATTCGCCATTTGCGCGCCCACGGAGAAACTAATTTCGTTCTCCGTAATAACAGTACTTAAAACTACGTGTATATATCAAAGCGAACATTTCCGCAGCATAATACAACTCGGCGTTGCGCATTGCTACTTACTTGGAATATCCCAAACGCTGTGCCGAGGTGTTCATTTGTCCGCACGACCGTCGTCACGATCATTACTCTCTCCAGCTCCTCTCTGTCTGCCTCTCTCTCTCTCTCTCTCTCTCTCTCTCTCTCTCTCTCTCTCTTTCTCTCTCTCCCTTCTACTTCTCTCACAAGCAATTTCTCTTTCCGTCTTTCCCTCCTTCTCTCTTGTTTCTCTTCTCTGTCACTCCTTTTTCCACCCTCTCCTTTTTCCCGCAGTCCCGAGTCCGCTTTTTGCCACAAATACTGTGTATCACCCACTTTTAGCTATTGAGAGCAAAGAACCGCGTTGTGTCGTAGTGGTTAGCTCCGCTATGCATCATGGACACGCGTGTACGAATACACGCGCGTGCACACGCGCGCGCGCGCGCGCGCGCTCGGCCTGCCGCAAATCTCCCGCGGATCTCATCCACGACGAAATGGTATGGCTCTCCTCCCCCACGGTGAGAGTAAGCCTGTCGTGGGATCGACCCACTTTGTGGAAAACGCAGTTTCACGCGGTTCGACCTCGGCTCGTCGTGGCCGCTCGATCGATCGATAATTCCAATCGTCGTCGATCGGCGGTGGCACACCGATGTCGTTAACACACTCTGCTACGACTTCATTGAGGACAACGTCACACGTGCCGATTGTCGTGACATTGAATCCTCTCTGGTGCCAGTATCGCTTTCGGACGTCATGCCTCGCGACGACGCTCTTCCGGAACAGTCCGCGGTCGGCTAATATAAACGACGAGGCGCGCGTAGACCCTCAAGGCCCCTGATCATGACAACCCCTTCCCCGCACACGTAGACTGCGCCGCATCGTGCCGTCGCGCTCGTGCCACGCTCGTGCTACTGATCGGGCCACCCCGAGCGGAGAGACGACCTCGCGCGAGATCGGGGACGCTGGTTGGGATACGGGAGGACCATGTGCCGCGCGCACTGCTGCTGCTGCTGCTGCTGCTGCTGCTGCTGCTGCTGCTGCTACTACTACTGCTGTTGCTGCTACTGCTGCTGACGCAGATGTCGTGTGTGCGTTCCAAAACACGCGGAAGGGCGCGCGAGCGAGCGCGTTCTCGTGTGTGCGTTCTCGAAGGCACGCAGGCACCCCGCGTCGACGCGTTCCATGCGCCGTCGTCGGTGGAGGGTTGTAGGCCGCCCGCGGTCCAGGCTGCCACGCAATACACTGAGCGGCGGTGCCGAGAGCCCGGGAGAACCCGCGGGAGCCCGTTCGTGGGTGAACGAAGCTCTCCGAAAATCTGCGAAGATCCTCGATTCGATACACTCGGGGTCGCGCCACCAGCGCATCGAAGGACACGGATGGACCAGCGGGACTACCTGTCGGACCCCGACGGCATCGCCACACGGCCGGCGAGAGAGGAGCGTGAAATCTCTCGCCTCTCTTGGATGGACCCGTTCACCCTCTCCCCTCCCCCCCCCCTCCCTCGCGTCGATAAGACTCGCGCGCGCAATCGCCCCTTCTTTCTCTTTTCCTTCTCGTCTCTTCCTCTCTTCTTTCTCTCTTTTTCCTTCCCCTCTATCTCTTGATCCTTTTCTTTTATCTTTGTAACAAGATTACTTGTTCTAAAGAGACGGAAAATCGAAGGTGGGGGTCGTGTCTCCAGCTGTATATATACGCGGGGAAAGCGTACCAAATTGACGATCCCTCTAAATTCGAAATCACAGGGATTACGCTGTCCGATGTCGTCGTAATACCACGGTCACGGGGTGTTAAACTCGCATTGAAACAGCGGTGCATCGATTTTGGATTATGGATGTTGTACGGTGAACACTTCGCAATTCGGGCGACACGCCGCGGAAAAACTCTCGTAGAAAAAGGAGAGCGTTGCCCGTAAATAAAATATTTCATAAGCCGCGCTTATCAACTACATGCGAACAATTCGCGAATTGCGCGCCGAACAGACGTTACTGTATTTATTTCATAACAAGAAGCATGATATATATATATATATATATATATATATAGAGAGAGAGAGAGAGAGAGAGAGAGAGAGAGAAAATATTATCCGTTGCATTCCAGATTATTCCACGTCTTCTCTCGATATTCTTCGTGTTTCGGCGTTACGTCTAGAGTCTGGTATTAGCACCGGACTATCGATGTCTCACATAAATATAGCTGACGTGTCTTACACGGATCGATCCTCTCTTCATATTACCCGCGTAGATTTTTTTATTGACGCGTTCCGCACATATCTTATGTTTCCCGCATCGGAGAGCCATCCGAATATTTTGATATTCGTCTGTTCCCTCTGTTGCGTTACTTTGCAAAAGCAGCCAGAGGAGCCGAGTTATAGGATTAGATTTGGCGAATACGAGCGTATCTCTGTTATCTATGATCCCTCCACTTTTACGATTTCGATTTCACATTGCTATCATGAACCAGATCTTTTCGTCGATCGGCGTGACTTCCAGCAATTTCTGTGGCAATCGAGAGAAACGCCGTTGTTACGGAATACAATCTGGGAAATATGGATTCGCGGGATGCTGACTCGCATACCAGTTCACCCCCACCCCCTCTCTCCCCCCCTCGAGGTGGGAAACATTATCCAGAATAGGGTGAATCGATCAGAAAATTGGATGAAATTGTTGCCCGATAAATGTTAAGAATTATTCCGTGCTTATTCAATTGGAAATTCAATAGAAATGTATTGATTTGCTCTAATGTACCGAGGAGCCTTCCATTCTTTTGTTTTACCGATATCTGCGCTAATGCTGGAACACATTACTGATTTTACAATTTCACTCTTTGCTGCTTGCAAGATATAAATTTTTTATATTATACCGTGCACTTTAAATGATTTAATCGTACGAATCGTGTAACGAACAATGTAGCTGCATGTTAAATTTAATGATATTAAGATGGTACGTCGGCTCCAATGAAATCCAGGATAATAAAATTCTTCTCGCCTACATCTTGACAGTTTGTTACTCAATAAGGAGGGATTCTATACGAAACCGATATAAAT